ACCTGGTTATAAACACACTTGTTCATGTGTTATACCTGGTTATAAACACACTTGTTCATGTGTTATAACTGGTTATAAACACACTTGTTCATGTGTTATACCTGGTTATAAACAYDCTTGTTCATGTGTTATACCTGGTTATAAACACACTTGTTCATGTGTTATAAACTGAGCTTACAGAAATGTAATGAAAGTCTGTTTCTCTACAGATGCAAGAACTGGAATCAGAGAACAAGAAACTAAAGAATGACCTGAACGAGCTGAGGAAGAGCATCGCTGAGCGAGCAACACAGGACAACTCATCCAATGAGCTGCAGGACAGCTACAACCTGCTGCTAAATCAGCTGAAATCAGCCAATGAGGAGCTTGATGCTCGCAAGGAGGAGGTGCTTATCCTCAGAACTCAGATAGTGAGCAGTGCTCAGCTGTTGGAGAGGAGCCAAAATGCAGTGAGACTCATTCATTCACTTTCATTCATGTATTCATTCATGAAAGCACCTCACATTTAGTTCTATAGCTCTCAGAGTCAGTTTCTGCATATTATAGCAAAGGTGGATGGAATAAAATTTGTCTTTTATTAATGCGGCTAAGTCATTGTCTGCATTAAGCTTTGGTTTGTGTTCGTAGCTACAGGAGTTCTAACTCTCTAAAATAATGTTTTCTTCTGTTAAAATGTCTTGTTTTTGAAGGAGGGAGAGAAGGAGGGAGARAAGGATGCTGAGCTGAACGACAGCACTGAGCCGATGGACAAGGAGGAGGCGCTCAAAGCGTATAACGGACTGAGTGAGTCCAAGAAGTAAGTCCAGCTCCTGAGGAGTTCTGATTTAAACACAGGTTGATGTTTTGTTAGAAACTGTTTCCACAGAGTCTGTTTCCCTCTTCTGACAGAAGACCAGACGATCTGAGCCTTCTCTTTACTCTCCTGCAGCTTTCTGTCTGTTCTGTGTTTCCATGTGATCCTCAGCTGCACCTGCTGTTTTTGTCAGTTTGCACATGAAGTCACATCAGCTCTTCATCTGGAGAAAATCACATAAATCATCTTTTTAAAAGGAAGAAAACTGAGATTTGTTCAAMTAAAAGATGCAGCAGGAGAACCCACAGATCTGATCTTGTTTTCTCTGAAGACTTAATAAATCCACATAAGACTGAACTCCAGACTGTAATTATTAGAAAGCAAGATTTCTAAATGTTTCGAAGTAAAATTCAGAGTTAGTCTYATGAAATCATTTTATAAACACAATCATCAGCAGTTGATCCACTTTTTGTGTGTTTAGCTTCAGTTAAACTCAGAATGAAACCTGAGTTTTTCTCCTGGTTTTCTTGGAAGCTTAATGAAAAACGAGACACAACAAGCTCAGTTTGTTTGTTTGTTTGTTTGTTTGTTTGTTTCAGGCTCTGTCAGATTTGAACCGTTAGTTCCCCCCCCCCCCCCCCTCAGTCTGAACCTTTAAATCCAACACGGTGGTCTGATCAGGTCCCCTCCATGTGTCCCTCACTCTGCTCTGTGTCCTCCTGTCTCTCCTTTGCTGCTGGACACCAGGGACCTGCAGGACTGGGGTCTCCTGAACGAAGACGGGGAGCTGGGTTTGGCCTACCAGGGTCTGAAACAAGTGGCCAGGTCTCTGTGTGTGCTGTAGCCCCCCTGATCTGAGTGTGAAAGCTGTGAACCCCCTCTGGCTCTCCTGATCTTTGGGATGAAACAGGACCTGTTTCCATCCAGACCTGGAGTCCCTGTAGTCCCATCAGGGTCCTGGACCCTAGCTGCAGGCCCTGAGTCTCTGTAGTCGGTCCCTGGGTGGTCTTGGTTGTGTGCTACCTCTTGTTGTGTTGTTGTTACTGTGGGAAACTAACTCTCTGGTCCCACCAGGCTCCTGGAGGCCCAGCTGCAGACCCAGACCCGGCAGCACCGGGATGAGCTGGAGGCTCTGCACACTCAGATCGAGGTGCTGAAGGAAGACCTGGAGAAGAAGCAGGAGGCCTTGAACTACATGAGCTCTCTGTCCCCGGAGGCGAAGGTGGAGTACAGCGTCCAGCAGGAGATCACTCGGCTCACCAACGAAAACCTGGTGAGGACCTCCACCTCCGTAGAACCTCCCAGACTTCATGGGTTCTGTTCTGACCCGATTGTTTCGGCCTACAGGACCTGAAGGAGATGGTGGAGAAGCTGGAGAAGAACGACAGGAAGTTGAAGAAGCAGCTGAAGATTTACATGAAGAAGGTCCAGGAGCTGGAAGGTACCAGGAGAACCCATCCTTCTACAGGTATTGTTCCACAGCAGAACCCTCGCTGACAGACTTCTACTGCTGTTTCAGCTGCTCAGGCTGCRGGTCAGAACCGCAACATCAGGCCGGACCTGGTCCGCCAGAGCTGGTCGGTGCAGAGGAGGGAGAAGGACTTTGAGGGGATGCTGGAGTACAACAACGAGGACGAGGCTCAGCTCATCAAGACCCTGATCACCGGTGAGACGTTCAGACTTTCCATCTCTTCTGAACACAGAAGATCTTTTCTTCCTGTAGGAGAAAAATCTGTTTGAGTTCAAGTGACCAGCAGAGACAAATGGTTCTGGTGATGGTATCACAGGGTTTGGGTCAGGGTCAGCACCAGAACCACCTCCACACTAAACCTCTAGAGTCTTTTTGAAAGGACAAGAAAGAATTTCAAAATAAAAAGTTTAGTTCAGAATGGCCGACAAACATCAGTAATCCAATCCTAATAAACAGCCYGTTATCAGTCATCTGACAGTTAGCAGCCGAGGTGCTGAAACAGGTCTGAAAAGGTCCTCATGTATAGAAAAATCTAACAAAACTGAGTCAGGGTCTCTGGACGAGTTCTTCTTTGTTGAAAACATTTCATCTTTTCTCAAAAGACGTCTTCCATTTTGTTGAAGAGAAACCATTTGTTAAACCTTGAGGGGTCTCCATGTCCAGTTGTCCCCCACTTACAATGCTGTTATTGTGAGTATGACTCAGCCCTCTGAGAACAATAGAGATCATCAGGGCCCTGACGATCAGTGGTTAGGTTGATGGTCAGAGTGATCTTTAGGCTGATGATCATAGTCCTAGAGACGTTAAGGCTGATGATGGTCAGAGTCCTAGTGACCTTTAGTTTGATGGTCAGAGTCCTAGTGACCTTTAGTTTGATGGTCAGAGTCCTAGTGACCTTTAGTTTGATGGTCAGAGTCCTAGTGACCTTTAGTTTGATGGTCAGAGTCCTAGTGACCTTTAGTTTGATGGTCAGGGTTCTAGTGACCTTTAGTTTGATGGTCAGAGTCCTAGTGACCTTTAGTTTGATGGTCAGGGTTCTAGTGACCTTTAGTTTGATGGTCAGGGTCCTAGTGACCTTTAGTTTGATGGTCAGGGTCCTAGT